CTGTGTGTGTGTGTGTGTGTGACTGTCTGTCTGTCTGTCTGTCTGTCTGCCTGTCTATGTGTCTGTCTGTGTGTCTGTGTGTCTGTCTGTCTGTGTGTCTGTCTGTCTGTCTGTCTGTGTGTCTGTCTGTCTGTCTGTCTGTCTGTCTGTCTGTCTGTCTGTCTGTCTGTCTGAGAGACAAAGACAGAGTAGATAGACAGAGACAGAGATAAACAAAATAGAGCAGGCTCAAAAATGTAAAAGCTCAATCATTTTCCTCTCTCCCTCTCTCACTCCATTTCCAGAGACATTTTAGGGGGTTATTTATTTATTTTCGTTTTCGGTTGACCCGGGCCTATTTTGGCTCCGCTTTCCCTTCCTCTCTCTCTCCTCTAAAGAGTTCCTCGGCCGAGCTAAGAGCATCCTTGAATCAATTGCAGAAGAAATGTTGTCGTCTGCCAGTCAGCGGATATCGATATTTTGATTTGCCTTGCTCGGACAAGGGAGTCTTTCGACATTTAACAGTATCGATCCCACCCGCAGGGGCTGTACACATACGACGTGTTTTGTGTACCCGGGCTAAACACACAATCTTCAAGGAAGGGATCACGCCACCAAGATATAGGCACGCCAAAGCGAAAAAACATCCAATTAATGTAAGGCTTGCTGACAAAATGAAATACTTCCCACAATCTACAAAAGGAGATAAATACCTGCAAAAATCTACACGAATGGTCGATTTTCAATTGACTGACGCCATTTTCTTCGAATGTAACATGTCTTTATTACTTCATATTTTATAAATTAATGTACAAAGTCCATCAATCAACAGGATACGTCTAATTCGATAGGGTTAGAATCGGAAAAGTCATCCATTTTGTCAGCACACCTCACAAATCATACGCTGATTAATATTGGTCGGTTCTAAATAAGCCAATCGCTGTCCAAGAAGTTTTTACATAATATAGCTTGCAGAAGTCACCTTCTCGGTGAATTCCTGTTTTTTTCTTGCCGCACGGCTGCGAAGTACGACGTCATATGTAGTAACGAGAGACAAAGGGGGATAAACTGTCTCGCAAAGGAGGCTAAATTGCCTCTCATGCATACTTACAGGGGAGAAATCAACAAATTTAATCAGAACAGTCTCAGGTGATCTTTATAAACAAAACAAGGTACCCAAAGAGACATCCCTTTCGCCGATTTTAAATCAATGTTTTGTTTTTGCTGTACTTAAAAAAACAACCCCAACAAACTTGTAACTGCCTCGAGTGAATTTTGTTCCTAGAGCATCCAGATCCTTAAAGAACAACAAGTAAAAACACAACTGAAGACGACACAGTACAGTGTACAGTCATCAGTGTTTTGTAACCTTAGAAATTCTGGGCCGGCTAGAACGTGGGGTTGGGAATTTGTGTAAAGTTTTTATTTTAAGGAAGGGCAGTTTGTAGTGTTTGATGTGGTGAAGCCAAGAGGAAGAGAGAGAGAGAGAGAGAGAGAGAGAGC